GACGCTCCTTCTTACCGTTGTAAATTGTGTGTGATGTCACCCTCTTTCCCCAACTACCTTAAGGTTTTCTCTTCATTTTGTTCATTTTCTGTGGCCGTCCTGGGTCTTTGCTGTTGAACGTGCTTTCCTCCAGTCGTGGTGTGCAGGCATCTCGCTGCAGCGGCCCTCCTCGCTGCGGAGCACGGCTCTGGAGCACAGACAGGCTCTGCAGTTGCGGTGCCCGGCCTTAGTTGCTCTGGGGCGTGTGGGGCCTTCCCAGACCAGGGGATCAGGCCTGTGTCTGCCATGTCGGCGGTCGGATTTTTCAGCACTAGGCCACCAGGGAGCCCCTTCTCTTCATCTCCAGTATCCGCAGCTTGGCCATCACGTTGGCTTTTGTGTGTGTGTATGTGTTCTGCTTAGAGCTCTTTAAGCGCCTTAGACGTTGTGCGATGATGGTTTTAATCAAATTTACTAGATTTTAGACCTTTATTTCTTTAAAAAGTTTTTCCTGTATAATTACTCCCTCATTTCTTCTGGGACTTTCTTGCCCCATAGGTCATTAAGGCTCTGTGGGGTTTTCCTCTGCAGATCATGTATGATTTTTATTACCCTGCTTTCAAGTCCACTGCTCTTTTCCTTATGTTTAAAATGCTCTGAAGCTTATTTAATGAATTTTCTATTTTAGATATTAGAGTTTTCAGCTCTAGAGTTTCCATTTTCTTTATGGTTTTTTTCTCTCTAGAGATTCCCCATCTTCTCAACCATTATGTTCATCTTGAAATCTTAAATGTACTTATAACTGTTCTGAACCTCTTATATGCTACTTGAGTATCTAGTTCATTTCTGGGTCTGTTTCACTTTCCTCTGACGATGCTTCTCCTCTCCCTGCCTTCTTGCTTGTCTAAGAATTGTTGTGAGCTGGACGCTGTTGAGGATCCAGATCTGTTTTCCTCCAGGGTCATGGGTTTTCTTCCTGCTGGCAGTTAGTGACCTTGTGGGTCAGCTTGGTCTTTTCAGGGGTTGCTCTTAGGCTTTGTTAGGCAGCTGTAGAGAAGCCTTTCCTCCAGGCTCCACGGACATGATCTCTCCAGGTTTCAGCGGAACGTCTGTGTCATCAGCAGGGTGTCCCCATGGATTCTGCGTCTCCCTGAGCTGTGTGGCCTCCAGCGTCCGGATGCAGCTCACAGCTTTGAGTGGTTGCTCTGCCAGGCCTCATGGGATCTTACCGCACACGTGGCGGTTGCTCTTGGCCAGAGATGCGGTTGGGTGGGGGGGTGGTCCTGTATGGGGAGGGTCGAGCTCCTGCTCACTCTCCCTGCCCGCACAGACCTGGGTGCCCTACACCCCACCCCCTGCCTCTGCCCCACCGCCTCGCCCCTCTTGGGCCTCAGTCCGCGGGCGGCTCCTGCACTGTCCAGCCCCGTAACTGCTGGTGGCTAGCCGCTGGTGGTGGTGGCTGGAGGGCGGCTCCACATGTCTGTGCGCCAGTCAGCGCCTTGTTGCTCTTTTGAAGATAGTGTGTCTCTTTTTTCTGGCTGGTTTTGGAATTTTTCTCTTTCAGAAGTTTTTCTGATAATACCCTGAAAATGTTAATTTTCTTAATATCCTGGGGTGTGTATGCTCAGCTTATCCTGTTTGGGGTTTGTAGTGTTTTGATTACATTTTTGATGTCTTATTTTAGTCGTTTTCTCCAAATAGTGATACTGTCCAGTCCCTCACCCTTGCACATTTTCCTCGTGGATGGCAGTTACACACTCGTTGCAGCTTTTCACTGTCTCCCTTTCTATGGTTTCTATGCTCTTGTCTCTACGAGTTCCAGTCTGGGTATTTCCTTCTGCAGAATCTTTTAGTTCACTGGTTCCCCCCCGGCAGGAGATGCAGCGTCTGGAGACCGAGCTGGGCCGACCCCCTGAGCGCTGGAAGGACGCCTGGGATCGGGTGAAGGCAGCGCAGCGCCTCGAGGGCCGGCCAGACGGACGTGTGAGCGGGGCGGGGGTGGGGGGCGGGCGGGCCTGCGGCCTGGAGGCGGGGAGGCCCCCCTGACACGGGCCCCTCCTGCCCGCAGGGCACCCCCAGCTCCCTGCTGGTGTCCAGCGTGCCCCACCACCGCCGCTCGCTGGGTGTGTACCTGCAGGAGGGCCCCGTGGGCTCCACGCTGAGCCTCAGCCTGGACAGCGACCAGAGCAGCGGCTCCACCGCGTCCAGCTCGCGGCAGGCAGCCCGCCGCAGCACCAGCACCCTCTACAGCCAGTTCCAGACGGCAGAGAGTGAGAACAGGTCTGCGGCAGCTCCCAGACGGGCGCCGCGGGTGTCTTTGCGGGTCTTCCTGGGATTTTTCAGGCAGAGGGGTTGGTGGGTGAGGCCCTGCCGGTGGCCTCAGCGTGAGCTGACCAGTGCAGGGAAGAAGCAAGTGGGCTTAGCCTTTGGGATGTGGAGCTGGTGACCTCGGCCAGAGAGGGAAGGGACTGTGGGGTTTGACGCAGGCTCTTGGAGGCGGGCGGGGGCCCCGCGGGCTGCACCCCACTTCTGGGCCCAAGGTACCGCGTGGCCAGAGTTGTCTTGAGATCTGCCCGCTCGTCAGGCCCTGCCCTGAGGGGGACATTGTTGCCGAGGCCCTGGTGGGGGCCATCACAAATGTCTGTCTGGGGACCCAGAGGGCTCCGGCTCGGGTTGGCTTGGGGGCGGACGCCTGGGTCTTGCTGCCGGGCCTGGCGGGGGTGGAGAGCAGGCATCGGTGCCAGGCCCTGAGGTGGTCTGGCCGGTCCTGTTGCAAACACAGGTCCTACGAGGGCACCCTGTACAAGAAGGGTGCCTTCATGAAGCCCTGGAAGGCCCGCTGGTTCGTGCTGGACAAGACGAAGCACCAGGTGAGTGTTCGGTGCCCTGGCGGGGCGGGGAATTGAAGGCGCCCTGCCCTGACTCCTGCCCCCCTCAGCTGCGCTACTATGACCACCGCGTGGACACGGAGTGCAAGGGCGTCATCGACCTGGCCGAGGTGGAGGCTGTGGCACCCGGCGCGCCCACCATGGGTGCCCCCAAGACTGTGGATGAGAAGGCTTTCTTTGACGTGAGCTGCAGTGGGGGCGGGGGCGGGGGCGGGGGCGGCTGTCCCTGGGGGAGCCGTGGAGTCAGCATCCTGTGTCCCCAGGTGAAGACGACGCGTCGTGTTTACAACTTCTGTGCCCAGGACGTGCCGTCGGCCCAGCAGTGGGTGGACCAGATCCAGAGCTGCCTGTCGGACGCCTGAGTGCGGCCCTGCCCCGCAGCCCTGCGATGTTACCGACCACTAGGGGTGGGCAGGGCCCCCCGGCCATGTTTACAGCCCCCGCCCTCGACAGTATTGAGGCCCCTCCCACCCCCCCGCGTGTACAGTCCCCTGCCCCGCCCCGCCAGCTCCTGCTCACTGGAGGCCTGGCTGAGTGCCCGCCGGGAGCAGCACGGTACAGCCCTCGCGGTGGGCCTGTAAATAGTTACCCCGCCCGTCTGTGCGCTGGCCCCGGCCGGCTGGCCCCAGGCGCCCTCTTCCTAGAATGAGAGTCTATAAAGAGCTAACGACACCGCGTGCCTGCGTCTGCTCCACCCACTCCCCCTGTACCCGGGCTGCTGCGTGGGGGGGGGGTGGGGTGGGGGGGGGGCATCATCAGGGCCTTGCCTGGGGCCTGCTCCCCCCGGGCTTCAGGCAACCCTGGGGCTGGTAGACAGGGCGGGCGCCACCTGGGGTGTGTTGTGGAGGGGTACAGAGGGGGACCCCCCCCGAAGCCATCCTGCATCCAGAGGGATGGGGCTGGCTAGGACAGGGTGCAGACTCACTGGCCCCTGGTCAAGTGAGAGTCCACGGGCCTGGGGGCGATGCCAGGAGGGTGGGCTTTCTGGGGCTCAGGGGCAACATGAGGTGGCAGGGCATGGCACCCTGACTGCATCCGCGCCGGGAGCTCTGCTCCAAATGCCCGTCTCTTCCTCTCCCAGAGTCCTGTCTTTGCCCTGACCGTCCCCACTGCCCTATTCTCGGGTGTAATGGGGGTCACCTGGACTGGGCCTCACTCGCAGTGGGTGCCAACCAGGTGTGGGGTGGCAACAGGTGTGAGGTGGGGTGTGGCACTGTGGAGGCCAGAGGTCCCAGGTAGAGACCACAGTACAGGGTTGGCGGGGCCGCTGGCAGCACCCACCGTGGGAAGGGTGCTCCCAGCCCGGGGATTGCCTTTGGGCTGAGGTCCTTGCCCCGTGCTCAACTCCAGGCAGAGCTGCTCTCAGCCGACTCAGGTGGGCCCCTGCCTGGAGTTCCAGGGCCTGTAGCTGAACACCACACGAGACACGCGGGTCTGTAGGTGAGAATAACAACCTTTATTGGAGTCGAGGGTCTGAGTGCTGTCAGAAAGAACATCACGTGAGCTGACCCCGCAGGCCCCCGGGACAGCTCGGCGCCCCCAGCACTGCTGGGCCCTCTGCACCCCGCCCACGGCCAGCGCCTGCCCCGCGCCCCTGGTGCACGCTGCGGGAGGCCCGGGACACCCTGCCAGGCCGCAGGGGCTTGTTTTTTTAAGGCAGTCGTTTGCAGCCTGGCACGGCCTGCTCCCAGGAGCTCTGGGCAGCTAGGACCCCGTCTAGTCAGCCCCACTCCAGACCCACATTTGACCCCAGAGCCTCGGAGACCCTCTCCTGCGCCAGATAAAAAGTGCAAACACATGGCTCTTCCTGCATCTGTTAAAAAAAAAAAAAACTGGTAAAAAAAACAGGCAAGGAGTCTGGCCCGGCCCTCAGGCCTCTGGGGCTGCGGCCCTGGGCTCCCACAGGCAGAGCCACGGCTGAGGCCTTATTGCTGTGTGCGGGGCTGGACCCCCGTGGCCCGCTCGGTCGGGGTCAGGCAGGAGAAATGCAGGCGGGGCTGTCCGGCTGGTTCCAACTGCCAGCTTTACCAATGCAGCATTTATTTTAAAATTAAATTAAATTAAATTAAAAAAGACAAACTGCGTCACCAGGTAGTTTTCTGGGTTGGGCGCCAAGACTGCGCAGCAGCAGCATCACACGGGGCCATTGAGGGCGGCTCCTGAGGGCGGCGGCCCGTCAGCCTGTCTGCAAGGAGGGGGGGTTCACTCAGGGCTGGGGTCCCCCCATTCTCGTTCCCCCAGCCCTCCCCTGGCCTGACTGGCTCACCTGTCTCTTGTCACTGTCCCCAGGGCAGCCGCCATGGAAACGGCTGGGCTGGCAGGGGCTGCGGTGGTGACGGCCACCATGGGCCCTGGGGGGACAGCCACTGCCAGCACGGGGGAGACGGCCCGGGGTTCGGGGGCCATGACGCCCGGCACCACGGGGGCCGTCACAGCGGCCTCGGGTAGGGTGGCCATGGCGGAGGCAGCGGGCGCCTCGGCAGGGTCTAGGGGCACCAGGCCTGGCGGTGAGCTGGGGGCACAGTCAGTCCTGCGCGGCAGATGGGCTCTGGTTACTTGGGCCCCTGCTCTGCCACCCCAAGTTCCAAACACTCCAGAGACCCAACCCCCCCCCCCCCCCCCCCGAGCGGCCCTCCAGGTGGCCGCCTCCTGCCGGGAGCGCTCACTGGGGGCTGCCCATCCCACTGTGCTCACCGTGGGCCCCACCTGCTCCTGGGCGCCCCTCAGGGCCCCAAGCAGCCCACACGCCTCCACGGACCACGTGACCCAGGGCCACTCCCTAGACCGCTGCAGGCCATGCCTGCCCAGAAGGCACCCACCCATCCCTGGAGAGAGTGAGCGCAGGAGGGCGGCCTGGGTCCCAGGAGCGCCCACAGCATCCACTGGCTGCACCCGCTTCCACTACGCCGCATCACCTGCTGCCTCGCGAGGACTCCAGGGAGGCAGTGAGGGGTGGGGGGAGCCTGCAGACGAGCCTGGCTCGTTACCCACAATGGCCCAAAGGGCACCCCCCAAACCAAAGGACGTGCTTTCAAAACATCGCCGAGCAGGTTTTGGGGGAGATGGGGGTCAGGAAGGGGGGAAGCTGACCCGTGGGTCTCCCCGGGTGGCTCGGCGAGAACCAGCCCCTCTGACAGGGGTGCTTGCTCCCTCCCAGCTGTGCCCATGACCGCGAGCCTAGCACCATGCCGGCTGGGATCTGTGTGCCCTGGGTCCCAGGAGCCAGTGTGCGCTGAGCCAGAGCTGGGCCCCCATGGACAGGCTGAGCCCCAGAAGCAAGAGGGAGGCTCCGAGGTGGCCGGCGGGGAGCCGGGAGCAGCCCTGTCCTCCCCGCCCACCCAGCGCCCCTCACACCGACTCAGCTCCGCCGCTCCCCTGGCCCAGAGCACTGTCGCCCATGTCCCGTCTCACCACACGGCTCTCGTGCCGCGCCCAGCCCGGAGCCTCTGTCCACAGTGGGTCCCACAGGCCATGGGCCCGCCCTGCACACGGAGTGTGAGTGGGTGTGTGTCACCTGGCAGTGTGTGTGTGTGTGTGTGTGTGTGTGTGTGTGGCACCTGGCAATGGGTGTGACTCTGGACTGGGCACCCACCCCAGGACAGCAGCAGCTCCAGAGCCCACCCCCCCCGGACCCCCAAAGCCCAGCCATCCCCTCCAACGAGGCCTGGGGTGGGCTGGCCTCTCGCTACCTCAGTGACCACCCGTGGCTTCCCCTTGGAGGAAGGGGCATCCCTCCTGTCCAGAGCTGGCCTCTGAGGAGTCACAGGGCCGCCAGGACGAGAGGGAGCTCCCTGCTGCCCACCCTCCCTGCTCACCTGGGGCCCGACACCGACAGTGGGGAGGCCTGGCTGGGACCCACACCAACAGCCCCCGAGGCAGCAGCTGCCTCCTGCTCATCCTCACGGCTGCTGGCGGCCACCAGGGGCGCCTTGCTGGGGACACACGCGCTCCAGGCACCAACTGCAAGATGGGGCCAGCGATACCAGGTGAGGACAGAGGGCCGGTGTGGAGTGTGCGGAAACTTCGGCCCACACCCCAGGGACCCTGTCCCCCACACCCAGTACTATGTCTGTAAATTCACAGGAACTGCAGAGAACTGTCCTCCCCACAGGCAGGGCCACCACTCAGCCTGGTGGCTTCCAAGTCTGTCTGACGGGGCTCAGGGCCAGGCTCCCCAGGACGAGCACAGGGCGGCATGGTGCCCACGCCATCCACTCCGGGAGGTGGCGGGCCAGCCCGGGGGCCTCGCCTGTAGGTGGGCCCTCCCCTGGCAACAGGCCCACTCCAAGACCCACCATCACCCTGGGGATGCAGCCGCCCCGCCTTCTCCTTTTCCCGAGGCGGCCCCCACTCACGGGCTCTCTCTGGGCCCTGGTTCAGGCCAGCCTGGGCGTCGCCACGGCCAGTGTCCACCGGGGAGCTGCACCTTGGCCCCGACTCAGAGCTGTGGACAGGGCCGACACTGAGCCCGAGCCAGGAGACCTGGCTTCAGGCAGCTGGGCCCCACCCCACTCCCCCCAGCGCCCACCTCACCAACAGAGAGGCTGGAAGTCGGTGAACTTGGCCCAGCCTTTCTCCTCCGGAGCAGAAGTGCTGGGGGAGCCGGCTGCCCACACACTGGAACCCACGTCCAGCGCCACTGCTGGGGCCGGGTCTGTGGCCATGGAAGTCAGTGGCCCATCAAACACGGCCCACGGGGAACCTGCTAGGGGAGACAGATGTCCATGTCCCTCGTCCAGCAGGCAGACCGGCCCTGCCCTGGAGTCCAGGCGTGACTGACAGAGGCAGCCCTGTAGCAGGGGAGTCAGCGCGCCTCCCCCAGTGGGTCCTGGGAACACCCGCCCCAGCCGGGAAGGTGTGGCCGGAGGATGACTCCAGGCTCCACCCAGAGACTCAGGGGCTGAAGGCGTCTGCTGCAGGGGCGGGGGCACCAGACCCTCTTTCCCCGGGTCTCCACCAAACCCCCGTGGCCCTATCACCTACCTTCTGAGCCGCCCTCGATGCAGGGGCCTTCCTGCCGGCTGGCAGCTCGCGGGGAGCCTGCCGGGGCTGCGTCCGCACCCTCGCCCGCACCCTGGCCTCGGCGCTCCGGGCCGTCCTTCCGGCAGCGCTCTGAGGTGTGGGGGCCCCCGAACCTGGAGGGAGAGGAGTCAGCAGCCCTCCCCGCGCGCTGGGGCGGGGCCGGCCTGGGCGGGGCCGGCACGTCTGGGGGCCCACCTGGCTCTGGTCACGCGGGCCGTACGGTGTGTCTCCTCGTCCTCCCAGAGGTCGTCGTCCTCGTCGAAGGGCTGGATGTGGTCGCTGCAGCAGGCCTCAAACAGCACCGCACCAGGCTACGGGAGAGTGCACATGGGCCCCATGGCCTCGCGCCCGCAAAGCGTGGCCGCCCCCGAGAGCCCCCGCGGACTCACGCTGTCGTCATCGGCGTCGACGCTGAAGCTGATCTCTGCGATCCTGTCAAATGGGGCGCTGCGGGGACAGCAGGGACACCGTCACGTCCACCAGGAGGGGTGGGAGGCGGCCCCGTCTGGACCGGAGGGACGCGGGCAGGGGCGCCACGCTGCAGGCTCATAGCCAGGGGCGACCCGCCCAGCTGCCCTCCCCTGAGGGCACCTCCAGACCCTGGGGTCACCCGTGGCATCCAGTTGAGGAGGTGGTGTGACAGCCTGAACAGGGCTGACCGCAGGCCGGGGACCTGGTTGGGCCAAGCGGCACCTGGCCCACAGGCACAAGGGAGGCGGGCACAGGCCGCTGGCTCACTTGACACTGTCATCCTGCTCAGCAAACTCCTCGTCACTGAAGCCAAACTGGTCCACGAAGGTGGCCGTCATCTGCTGGACCTGGTACTCAGAGAAGGCCTGGACAACAGGGCCGGCTGCTCTCAGTAGACGCCCTCAGCGGCCTCTCCCAGCTCCTGCCCTCTCGGGTGGGCGCCAAGGCGGCCACATCCACACAGCCAACCACATCCCCAAGGGTCTCATGGAGGCAGAGTGCCCGGGGCCCCTGCGAGAGGTGGTGAGGCTGCAGCCTTCGGGTGGTGGGGGGACCTCCCCTGGCCCCACCCGCGGCTCTGGTGACACGCAGGGCACGGCGCTGTGGGGACAAGGAGGCCTGGCCACACATACCTGCTGCAGGGACAGCTCGTTGGGGAAAACGCCCTCCATGTCCTCGTCCTCACTCGAGGGGTGAAGGTGGTGTGTGCTTACCTGCAACGGCCAGGGCGGGCAGACGTAAGCAGGCGCCTCGCCGCCCCCAGCCCTCTGCACAGGCAGCCCTGTGAGCCCAGGCAAGGCGGGACCACGGGGCCCGCAGCGCTCTGCCCGGAGGCCAGGCCTGCTCACCAGGTCCACCGCGTTCCTGCGGTTGGCCTCCGACAGCGTCTCCTCCACGAAGCTCTCCCAGCGCCCACGGCAGTCCCCCGGGAGCCCTGCAGGGAAGGCCGCACACTGAGCCCCTAGGCCTCTAGAACCCTGTGGCAGCACACGCCCCTCCTGGCCTCACAGGCCCGAGCCCGTGGGCATGTATTCCCCGGAAGCACGGGGCCCTGACACCTGCCCCCCACATAGGGCTGTTGCGGGCGTGCACCTCTGCAGAGGCGCTGACCCAGCCCACCAGGGACTAAGCGCCTCGCTTGTATCGGAGGTCCCCCCCCAGCTGCGTAGCTCACAGCTGTCCCTGGGCTGTGGGGGCCACGGCGGACACCACTGTGGAGGCAACCTGCCGAGGGCATGGTAGAGGGCACGCCCAGGCCACACTCAGTGCACGGCCAACTGGACGTCAGCAAGGCAGCTTCCCACGCCCCGGCAGGCTCCAGGACCCCAGATGGCACGCGGACCACCCCACCCAACAGCACGCACACCCAGCCAGGGCTCCCAGATGGCACGCCCCCCTCACGCCAGGCCAGCCCTGTCCTCAGCCTCCACGCCACAGCCCCTCAGCGCCCTGCCCTCTGGACTGCCCCTCCCGCCCTCGGGCCTCAACCCTGGCTCATGTGCACTCGCCCCCCGTCGCCCTGAGTGCATGCCCCCGCTGGCACCCACTGCTCAGGAGGTGCTGTCCTCCTCCCTGAGAGGCCAAATTGCCCGCCTTCTCCCATCTGAACCCCCTCAGGCCCCCCCCAGCTCAGCCCAGGACGTGTAGTGCTGGGAGGGGCAGAGCAGCGTCCGGGACACGCAAGGGGCATGCGGCAGCCCCAGGTGGAGAGGCCGCAGACCGCGATGAGGGGGGGGCCCCACAGGGCTTCAGGCTGCTCTTAGGAACAGCACAAGTGGGGGTGAGGGGCTCGGCAGGGAACTGACTCAGGCCCAGGCCCACGGGGCAGGTCAGCCCGTGGGAGGCAAGCTGACCGTCCAGCAGCAGGGCCAGTCCCACCCGCTGAAGGCCACACTGCAGGGGGCACCATGGGCAGTGACACCCAGGCCTGGAGGCGCTCACCTCGGAAGACCTCGCTGACCTGGCTCTGCAGGGGGCCCCCCTCCAGGTTCTGCACCACTGCGTTGGCGATCCGGGTGAGGTGGCCCATGTTCCCGCGCCTCATGCCGCCTGCTGCCCTAGGAGAGGGAGCATCAGGTCGGTGGGGTCCACCAGGCTCAGCCTTGCCCCGCCCCCTCCCACAGGCCTCCTGCCCGTGGAGCTCATTGGGCAGCACGGGCTCGCACCAGCGGCCCCCCACTCTCAACTCCGAGAGGCACACGCTGCCCCCGCGCAGGCGGAGGCCCTGCAGCCCAGCGTCGGGTCAGTGCCGCGAGAGCCACCGGAGGGCGCCCCGGGATCTGGGGGAACCAAGGCCCCTCCGGGGACCTAGCAGTGGGCAGCAGCAGGGGTGGCTGTCCCCGCCAGCGTGGCCACACGGCTCTTCTCGACCTCTTACCCGCCCCCAGGCGGCCCACAGCAGAGGACGGAAGACGCCAGGCTTTCCGCGTTCAGAAACGCAGCCTTCATGTCCCAGGGGCACAGCTCCTCTTTCCACCGTGTTCTCTCTGCTCAGTTCGGTGACAGCCAGAGAGGACACCAAGGGTCCTGATTTTGTCGGCCCCCCTGGCAGGCACAGGGGGCCAAGAGACTGGGAGGAACTGGCCCAGAGGCGAAGCCGGATGAAGGTGGAGGCCTGTGAGCAAGCTGCTCAGGACGCGGGAGAGCTGGGTTGAGGCGTCACACACCTGTCCACTGCTTCCTGGGGCTCAGAGGCCCCTCGGCTAACAGCACTGAGCCATTTCTTGACACAGGTACACACTGTGCCGCGACGTGCAAAACCCAGGAGGAGAGCCAGCAAGGCCTCCTGAGCTACCACACCCGGGCCCAGCAAAGCCGGGATGGCCCCACCGTGCCTGGGGCTCCGTGAGGATGGACGCAGATCGGTGGGTCCAGCACAGCAGGACAGGAAGGATGAACCAGGTGAGGTCACAGAGACCCCCGCCCAGAGCAGCCTCTAGGAGGGCAGAGTGGGAGCAGAGGGGGACTGGGGCGGCTCACTGGACCCTGAAGCCACACCAGGTACCCAGGCAGTCAAGACCTTCAAGCGGTGGGTGACACCACCTGCTAGTTTCAGAAAGGCCCCAGCCGATCAAAGGGACCAGAGGCCAGGAGGGGCAGGAAGGAGGCAGGAAGTGGCCTGGACGCGCTGTCAAGGGTTTGAGGCTTCCGTGAGCGCCATGGCTGGAGGCCAGAATGGGGACCTGGGAGGGTGTGGGACACAGGACTGGAGTCTCCGCTGCTGAGCAGGCGAGGGAAGCAGCGGGTGAAGGGCCCCGAAGCTGGGCGAGCAGGCCTCAAGGACAGGACCCCGAGCGTGGCCCAGCTGTGCCGCCCCCCAGCCCTGCACCTCAGCCCCGCCAGCACAACAGCTGCTCCCACGGTAATGGGACCTGTCCTGGGAAACAAACCCTCCGCAGGAGCCTGAGCCCCACGCGGGCCCCAGGTTCTTACTGAGTATGGTCGTTGGCTTCCCAGGCCTCCAGGATCCTCTGGACCAGGCAACACTTCTGGAACAGCTGGGGACAGGCGGCAGCAGTCAGGTCAGCAGGCGGCACGCCCCATCCGCCCACCCCCGGGCTGAGTGGGCTCAGCAGGCAGCACGCGGACACGTCAGCCCCGAGCTCCCTGTGGGCACACCCGGCATCAGAGCCCAGCCCTGTGGTCCCCACCACGGCCCCAGGCAGGCGCCGCCCACGGCCATCCACGAGGGCACACACGTTCCGCCCAGCCCCCCTCCTCTTGGCCGCTGCCTCCTCCCCGCTGCCTCCCGCTGGCCACCCCCACTTTCCCTGTTCAGGACGGAGGCCGCTGGCCTGGGGCTGCCCTGCTGCCAGCACTTCACAGCTTCCCCCGCCTGGAGAGTCTGTGCTGGGTCTCAGTCACACCCACACCCACATGCATCCTCACCATCTGGAAGGGCCCGAGCATCCACCCCGCCCCGTGACGTTCTCCCCACTGAAGCTGTCTTTGCTGTTGTCCACGTCAGGCCTGCAGGCGTGGCCCCTCAGGACTCTCTCCTAGGCCTCTGACCACAGACCCAGGGGCCCCTTGCCCAGCCCCTCCGGTCCTAACCTCGCACCACCCGGGGAGGGCGGCACGGCAGACTCCCAGGGTCCAGCGTGCACCGCTGGGCTCCTCGGCTTGGGGACCACGCGTGCCACGTTCTGCTTTTCCCTCCCTCCTTAGTGAGCAACGAGGAGTGCTTAGACCAACTCCCTGCAGGCCTGGCACTGGCCACGTAGGGCTTGCAGCCCCCAGAAGACCGGGTGGGCTAGTGGGAAAGACGGGAGAGCCGTGCAGAGCAGCCACTCTTTCCAGAGGCTCAAGTCCCAGGAAGTCTTCTCATGACAATCAAGACACATTTGCTCTTCCCGGGCACTCCTTCCGTGGCAGACATACCATCTGGGGGCCGCTCGTCCCCCACAGCCTGGATGAGCCAACTCAGGCAGCATCAGGGCTCCTCGCCACCCCTCCTAGACCCTCCACCCACGAGCTCTGGGGTCTGGCAAGTGTGGATGCTTTCTTTGTGGTCTCCCGCCTCGTGGTTTAAAAGCAGAGCAGCCCACCCACGTCACGTGAGCTTAAGCAGAGACCACAAGGCACACAGCGCGGCAGGTGCACACGGCCTGGCTCGACCTCAGGGCACACAGGATGCGTGGAGACCGGTGGGACACGGCAACTTGCGTGACCCTGGCTGGACTTACGTGGGCCACCATGGTGCTCTCGGGGCGGCTGCTGGCAGGCTGGGGGGTTGCTGGGTCCCCGCTGGAGGGTGGAGGCTCCAGCCCACCCTCAGGTCCACTGGCTGCGGCCCTGTCCTCCCGGGCAGCGTGGGACAGGATGGCGGCTATGCAGAGCTCCACTTGGAGGTGCAGGAAGTTATTCCAGGTGTACTTAAAAAACAGGTCCTGCAGAGACAGGGGACGAGGGACGCACGCAGTCTGTCTCCTGCGGGCGGAACCTGAGGGGACCCTGCTGTCCAGCCGCCTCTCACACTGTCCCCCTCCCATTCCGCCCTGACATCTGGATGCCAGGCTTCTAGCAACTTCTGCAAAGAGGTACCTGCATCCCTCGCCATCCAGCCCAAGGCTGTGCTTCTGTCTCTAACCTCTGCTCCTGACTGCTTCCTGTGGGTTTGTTTCCGCCTGTCCCCCACCCCCACCCTAAGTCAGAGGCATGGCCCACGGCGGCTCAGCCTTGCTCCCTCTCGGGTGCGTCTCCATGAGGCTCCGAGTTTCCTGTAAAATCACCTTTGCTACATGATACACGCTTTGCGATGTCATATTTTTATCATCCTTCTTTTATGATTTTATCTTTGACCCACAAATCACTGGGAGTGTGAGCAATTCTCCACTCCCTGGGGGCCATGAATAGGCGCACGTGTGGACATTCCCCAAGGGGCCTGGGTTGGAGCCCCCAGGGGCTGAATGGGCAGCAGCTTCCCTCGAGGGGCCTCTTCCAGACCTGCCTGAGGTCAGCAGGCTGCACCCTTACCCATGCCCCAAGGCCACCTCACATCCAGCAGGACCCATAGCAGCGCGTGCCCAGACCCCAAGGAAGGAAGCCAGGTGCGCAGGGCGGGGAGATGGGGCAGGGGGACAGGGTGCACACCACCCCAGGGTGTGGGTTTGGGGCCTCCTTCCAGGCCGGGGCGGGGGGGGGGGGGGGAGCTGGATAAAAGGAGGCAGCCTGTGAGCCTGCACGCGCTGCCCCAGAGATGCAGTCTCCAGGCTTCACGTCCTCTGCCTGTGTGACCTTGGGTGACAGGGAGGTTGCTTCATCTTCAACAGAGTCAGAACCACCTCCCCACACAGACCACACGACTTCACTGGTGAGTTCCACCAAACATTTAAAGAGGAAAGACCACCACCAATCTGCTCAAAGCTTCCCAAAGAACTGAAGAGGAGGGGGCACATCCTACCTGTTCCATCCTGAGGCCAGCATGCCTACACCAGCCACCACAGGCAAGAAGACTAGAGCCCACATCCCTGATGAGCACCGAGGCGGAAACCTCCACGGGATAAGCAACACAGCAGCAGAACAATGACAGGCCATGACTGGGCGGGTAAATCCTCCAATCGCCCAACACCGGGTGCGGCGACATATGAAAGGCAGTGTGACATGCCACAGGAAAAGAACGAGGGGACTAAACCTACACAACCAGCTCAACTGACACTGAAGAAGCATTTGACAAAATTAAATGCATTGTCTCGGGAAAAATACTTAATAAGCTGCACAGTGACAGACAAAAGCAGTCTCTGGTGGCGGACACGCACAGGAGCACAGAGTTAAGAGCGCACACACGACGCTGACACTGAGGGACGAGACGGTCGCTGCTGGGACGGCCACGTGCAGGAGAGGGACGCTGGACTCCTACCGCGCACTGCACACACAGACGAACTCAAAAGGGATCAAAGACCCACAAAAACTTAAAGTTTAAAGCTCTTAGAAGAAAACATAGGGGGAAAGCTGCAGAACAGTGGATTTGGCCAGGCTTTCTTAGGTACAGGTGTGACACCAAATGCTCAAGCAACAAAAGAAAAAAAAGATAAACCGAACTTCATCAAAATGAAAAACTTATGTGTGTCAAAGAACACTATCAAGAGACTAAAAAGACAACTCACATGATAGGAGAAAATAACTGCAACTGATACATCTAAGAGATAAGTATCAGAAAACATAAAGAACTTCTTCAATTCAACAACAATAAAAAAAATAAACATCTCAATTCAAAATGGGCAGAGGACTTGAACAGACATTTCTCCAAAGATACTCAAATGGCCAGCAAAAGCACATGAAAAGATGCTCAACATCACCAACTACTGTGTGTGAGTGCATGCTTAGTTGCTCAGTTATGACCAACTCTTTGTGACCCCATGGACTGTACAGTCCGCTAGGCTCCTCTGTCCATGGGATTTTCCAGATAAGAATACTGGAGTAGGTTGCCATTTCCTACTCCAGGGATCTTCCCAACTCAGGGATTGAACTTGCGTCTCTGGCGTCTCCTTGACTGGCACGTGGATTCTTTACCACTGCATCACCGGGAAACACAAACCAAAACACAATGAAGAGTTTCCTGGTGGCACAGTGGTTAGGAACCTGTCTTCCAATGCAGGGGCCATGGGTTGGATCCCTGCTCGGGGAACTAGTAATGACGTCCCATATGCGCCTGGGCAGCTGAGTCCGCACCGCAACTGCTGAGCCCTCGCACCACAGTGGACGTCTCTGCCTTCTGTAACTGAGACCTGACGCAACCAAACAAACAGGAAGAAAAGGGGAGGCGGGGCTGCCCTGGGGACAGTGGTAAAGAGTCCACCTGCCGACGCACAAGACACAGATTCAGCCCCTGATCCAGGAACATCCCACATGCTGCGGGGCAAGTGAGCCTGAGCTCCGCAATGAGACGCCACCGCGATGAAAAGCCCATGCGCCACAGCTAGAGAGCAGCCCCCATGGCAACGAAGACCCAGTGTAGCCAAAAATAGAAATAAGCTTACTAAAAAAAAAAAAAAAAAATAGTGAGATACCACCTGAAACCCATCAGGATGGCTATTATCAAAAAAAACCAGAAAGCATGTGTAAGTGAGGCCATGAAGAAATTGCTGATGCGAATGGAAAACAGTGTCCCACTGTCTCCAACAGCTGAATAGAGAATGACTACATGCTCCATCAACTCCACCTCTGGGGATGCAGTGACAAGCGAAAGCAGAGACTCAGCTTTCTTACATACCCACGTTTACAGGAGCGTTTTCACGGGTTCTTTTTTTTTTTTTTTTAAGTATCAATGTTTTATTTGGGTGACAAAAACCCAGGGCACTGAGGATGAGAAAAGGGACACCAGGTAAGGAAGAATGGGGGGTAATGCAGGGTGATAGCACACTGAGCCTGCCCCACGACAAGCCTGGAAGAGGCGCAGAGCTGTGCGCACCGGTACCTGGGAGTTCTCCCCACTGCGAGAAGTGGTCTCCCTACCGGGAGAAATCTTGCACCAGTTCAGGGAAGGGAGAGAAGAAGAGGGAATCTATCTGCCGGGATTTCTCCCAACTCCCAGTAGTCAAACACTACGCCTGGAACATTAACTCTTCTACACTCCTGGGTTGCTAGTGGCTACTTGAGATGTCAGATCCCATGTCCTGTGGGGAGCATTTCATCCAAGTCTGGAAATGATGAGAAGAGACAAACTGGACATGTGGCTAGTGGGTGCCAGAGAGCATCTGATATTGTACATAAGACGTGTTCACACAGTATGATACTGTTTTTCTCATTTATCAGAAGAGGAAACCTGACACAATGGGCAAAAACCATTCCCAAGGTCACATGGCTAGTAAGTGGTAAATTCAGGATTTGAACATAGTCTGGCTCTGGAAACTGTCAAAGACCAAGATAAGGAACTTGGATTTTGTGTTGCAGAAAAGGAGAGTCTCTAAAGGGTTTCAAGCTGGGAGTGACATAAGATAAAGAGCTTTTGAATAAAGCTCCCATTTTTCACTGTGCTCCATCTTCTCATGTGGCTGAACTTGGCACAAGTAGGTGGCCCCAGAAATGTGAGGACATCCAACACAGTTTCTGAGGAGCCCTGACTGGGTCCAGAGCTCATATGAGCTTCACCATTGCCTCATAATCTTAGTGTCTTCATCAAAGCCTACACCCACCAAAGAGACTAGCTGGTCAGAGGCACACAGGATCTGGATGGAGAAGCCAAAATGAGGAGATGAGCAGATTGACCTAAAGACCAGGAGTAGGAGGAGGACCAGCCATACATCCATTGTCAGCCGGTGGGTCTGGAGATCTTGGCATCCGTATATGAGTCCTTTGGTGTTGCCTGAGATGGTCAGATCTCATGAACTGTCGGCCACACTGGTCACATTTATGTGGTCGATGTTTGGTGTGTATCCGAGTATGTCTTCCAAGTTCATCAGAACGGAAGAAGGACCACGTACAGGCTTCCCACGTGCATTTATAGGGTCGTTCACCTGTGTGTTTGCGTTGGTGACTCACGGGGTGGGAGCGCTTAGTGTAAGCTTTTTCACAGTTCTCATAGTCGCAGCGGTAAGGCCTTGAAACTGGGGATCTCCGTCTGGGAGCCTTTTCCTGGGTCCCGGAGTACTGCTGCTCTGCTCTGCTCTTTGCTGAGCAGGTATGGGCTGCCTAGGTAGGAAGGGGTCTTCCTGGGAGACTGGCTGGTTCACAAAGGAGCCCTGGGATTCCAAAGCCAGCAATAATGGAGATCCACCTGGGGGCATCCCAAAGTTCTGGGGCTGTCTAGGAGGCAACATCTGAGCTATAGAAGGGAGCATTGCTTGGGCCTCAGTGGAAGACACGGTTGGATTTAATAATGTTTTAGATGGTAAAGGGTCTCTGTTAGAAGCTACTGATGGGAGGCCAGGATATGACATTGTTCGCATTCTGATGTGGGACATCATTGGGATTCCACTGGGAGGTGAGGTTGGTGGCCCACTGAGGGGCATCCTTAGGTTCCCACCAAAGGTCATGGCCATCCCTGGAATATTGGGCTCTCCTAAGGGCATCACCTGGGGTTCCTTGAAAATCATCATTCCTGGCTGCGAAGGAGACATTCCTTGAGTGAAAGTCATCTGGGCAGGGGTGAAAGTCAGTTGGGGGCAGTAGCTCACACAGTGGTCAGGCAGTGCCGTACTGAACTGTGGCCCCATTTCACTGGCATTCTGCCTGGGTGCCTCAGCAGAAGCCAATGGGATCCTCTGCAGCTCTGTGCGCTGAGGGATGTGCTGAATGCCTAATGGACTATGGTCCCAAGAGGTGTGCACTCCACTGCTTCCAGGGGATGAAGACACGTTCAAGATGGACACTGACTTCTCAGCACCCTCTGTGAGCTGGTGCGAAGCCACATGCCACTGGCTCAGGCCCTCGGCCCCCTGCTCCATTTGAACTTGGGATGGGTTGCGCATTGACACTGCACTAGGGTCCAGACCCACCGCCGAGCAGAGCTGCGACTCACGGCGCGACGCAGGCCTGTACTACCACGCCACAATCGGCGCGCTCAGCTTCCATTCTCACCGCGCGGGGGGGCGGAGCCAAGGCCCACGGGTTCTCAAGGCAAGAATGCTGAAGTGGTTTGCCCTTCCCCTCTCCAGTGAACCACGTCTTGTCAGACCTCTCCACCGTGACTCACCCATCTTGGGTGGCCCTACATGGCATGCCTCATAGTTTCATTGACTTAGACAAGGCTGTGGTCCATGTGATCAAACTGGTTAGTTTTCTTCGACTGTGGTTTTCAGTCTCTCTGCCCTCTGATGGAGAAGGTTAAGAGGCTTATGGAAGCTTCCTGATGGGAGAGACTGACTGAGGGGGAAACTGGGTCTTGTTCTGATGGGCAGGGCCATGCTCACTAAAACCTTAACCCAATTTTCTGTTGATGGGCAGGACTGTGTTCCTTCCCTGTTATTTGACCTGGGGCCAAACTACGGTGGAGGTGATGAAGATCATGGCGACTTCCTTCAAAAGGTCCCAGGCACACACTGCTGCACTCAGTGCCCCCACCCCTGCAGCAGGCCAGCGTCGACCCATACCTCCACCGGAGATGCCTGGACATTCACAGGCAAATCCGGGTCAGTCTCTTGTGGGGTCACTGCTCCCTTCTCCTGGGTCCTGATGTGCACCTCGCTCTGTTTGTGCCTCCCAGAGATGTTTCCCCAGTTCTATGTAACTTCTGGAGGCTCTATGGTGGGGTTAAGGGCAACCTCTTCCAAGAGAGCTTATGCCACACCCAGGTCTGCTGCACCCAGAGCCCCTGTCCCTGCGGCAGTCCACTGCTGACCGTACCTTGTTGTGGATCACAACAAACTGTGGAAAATTCTTAAAGAGATGAGAATACCAGACCACCTGACCTGCCTCTTGAGAAACCTGTATGCAGGTCAGGAAGCAACAGTTAGAACTGGACACGGAACAACAGACTGGTTCCAAATCAAGAAAAGAATACAATATACAAAAGGTTATATATTGTCACCCTGCTTGTTTAACTTAAATGCAGAGTACATCATGAGAAACACTGGGCTGGATATAGCACAAGCTGTAATCAAGAATGAAGGGAGAAATATCAATAACCTCAGATATGCAGATGACACCACCTTATGGCAGAAAGTGAAGAAGAACTAAAGAGCCTCTTGATGAAAGTGAAAGAGGAGAGTAAGGAAGTTGGCTTAAAACTCAACATTCAGAAAACTAAGATCATGGCATGTGGTGCCATCACTTCATGGCAAATAGATGGGGAAACCGTGGAAACAGTGACTGACTTTATTTTGGGGGGCTCCAAAATCACTGCAGATGGTGGCTGCAGCTGTGAAATTAAAAGAAACTTGCTCCTTGGAAGCAAAGTTAGGAACAACCTAGACAGCATATTAAAAAACAGAGACATTACTCTGTCAACAAAAATCCGTCTAGTCAAGGCTATGGTTTTTCCACTAGTCATGTATGGATGTGAGAGCTGGACTATAAAGAAAGCTGAGCACTGAAGAATTGATGCTTTTGAACTGTGGTGTTGGAGAAGACTTTTGAGAGTCCCTTGGACTGCAGGGAGATCCAACCAGTCCATCCTAAAGGAAATCAGTCCTGAATATTCATTGTAAGGATTGATGCAAAGCTAAAACTCCAATACTTTGGCCACCTGATGTGAAGAACTGACTCGTTGGAAAGACCCTGATGCTGGGAAAGATTGAAGGCAGGAGGAGAAGGGGACAACAGAGGATGAGATGGTTGGATGGCATCACTGATTCAATGGACATGAGTTTTGAGTAAACTCCGGGAGTTGTTGATGGACAGGGAGGCCTGGTATGCTGCAGTCCATGAAGTCGCAAAGAGTCAGACACGACTGAGCGCCTGAACTGAACCGAACGGGAGCATTACTAAAAATGGTCACAATGCGGACTTCTGTGGCAGTCCAGGTGTTAGGGCTCTGCACTTCCATGCAGGGGGCACAGGTTTGATCCCTGGTCAGGGAGCTAAGACCCTACATTCCATGCCTCATGGCCAAATGAAAAATAAGTACACACATTTTTCTTTTAAATGGCCAAAATGTGGAAGCAACCCCATTGTCCATCAATGTATGAACAGGTAAACAAAACGTAGTATATCCACACAATGAAATATCTATCATTCAGTCTTAAAAAAGAAAGAAACTGTGACACATGCTACAGCACAGGTGAGCATCATCCTAAGTGAAACAAGCAAAACACAAAAGGAACACAAAGGCCACAGATCCCACTTACGTAGGTCAGTGGACTAGTCAGACCCTCAGACAGGAAGCAGAAGGGTGGGGCAGGGGAGGGTGGGAGGATGAGGACTGAGTGTGTAACAGTCAGTCTGAGAAGAGGAGAAAGGTCTGGAAATGGTGGTGATGGCTGTAGAACAATGTGAACAATGAACCACACGAGTGACAATTATTACAATGGTGTATCTCACGTTATATATGTTCTGTTTTGCCAGAATCAAAGAAAAGTGAAAAGCAGGAGTGGGAGAGAGAATCTGCTTTGGAGGAGGGGAGCAGAAATGAGGCCTTTCCCTGCCGCTCTCTGACCCACGTCTGGGCTCCACAGTCACAGCAAAGCCCAGGGATTTCCCCTAGGGCAGGCGGTCCTTGAGGCCCAGTTCCAAGGCGGTCCTTGTGGGAGGACGAGGAGTGGCTCTTCAGGCTGTTTTAGGCTGAAGAGCTATAACGTTCTGAGGCAGAAACGAGAAAGGGGAGGCCCGTCTCCCCACCACCTCTGCTTTCAGGGCCGCCCTGTGTGAGCCGACACTGAGGCGGGCCTGGCCCGGGGCTGCGGGCCGGCCCCGTTCCTGACTGGTGCCCGCAGGCCCGCTCACCAGCAGCAGCCCCATGGTGTTGAGCCGGCAGAGCTCCTGGTTGACGCTGGGAGTGCCGGTGTGCAGCAGGGCGGCCACGAGGCGGGCGCTGTGCAGGCGCGCGTTGCCCAGGGGCTCCTCCAGCACGCCGACGGTGGTCAGGATGGCTGCTTTCTGCAAACACAGAAGCACCGCCAGTTAAAGCCTGTGCCCACCTGTGTGGGCTTCATTTAGCTCAGGAGCCAACTGTCAAAGGGCCAGGGCCATAGCCATGTGACATGGCCTAGTCGGGGAGGAGCCCTCAAGGTGGTCTGCAGGAGGAGACCAGGAGTCAGTCATGTGAAGGGCCTCAGTGCTTCACTCAGGGCTCACAGCGTGACCCCGGGCGGGCTGCTGCTGCTCGGAGCCCGGGGCACCCTGGTCTCAGCCGGCCAGCCACAGTGGTGTGACCTGAGCGCATAAGACAGAGGAGACTGATGACGAAGCTGGCCTCGTGACAGGGGCATCCTGCATGCAGTCCACCTTTTCATTAGCAGAATGTTCCAGAATCCCTGCTTTCACAGGTCCTCCTTTCCAGTGGGAAGCAGCCCACAAGTAGGTTGGTAAACAGAATGAGCAGCACAGGAGAGCACAGACAGTGCTGAGGAGGACACCTATGGAGAGGGTGGGCGGGCGGGCAGCCCTGGCTACGCTGAAGGACTGAGGGGGTGAAGAAGTGGGCCTTCCTTAGTTGTGACCAACTCTGCCCAGAACTGCTCAGCAGAGCTAAGGGTCTCCCTTGGGACCCCCTGACCCTTGGCTGGGTATCCCAACACAGAGGCTGGGCCTACAGTGCACCTGGGCCTTGGGCAACGCCTTATCAGAAGACAGGAGTCATCTGGGGGACAGTGAACCGCTCTACTCGCAGGCCTCCCGCAAGGGAAGACGAGCACTCAGCAGACGGGGCTTGAGTGTGCCCGCCACCGCAGGCAGCGCAGGAAGTCCTCGCCTCGCCAGCATCCCCACCCACAAGGGCACCTCCGCTCAGGACGCCTACCTTGGGCGGGCTGAGCAGCAGCTGGTGGAAGTCCCTCAGCCGGGGCTCCAGGCCGCGCAGGACGCCGGGGCTGGCGGTGCACGGCCCGTCCCGAGGGCAGGAGTCCAGCAAGCCCTCTGACCTGTGGACCAGAAGCGGCTGACGCGGCCCCGCCAGCCCGCCGCCACCCTGCGGCCCTCCAGGCCGCGTCCGCTCGCCTCCAGGGGGCGCTGCTGACTGCCCGGGGACAGGCCGGGCAGGAGGCGGGCGTCACAGCCAGATGAGCTCAGCTCCCTCCCGCCGCCTCGAAAACCTTCCTGCTGGCCCCTCCTCGCCCGGCCACACCGCCCCTTTGGCTTTTTCACATAAGCACTGTTTCCAGTTATGAAAGCCATGCACAGCCGTCACAGAGCACAACGTTTAAACGCACGACAGGACAGAAACGCCAAAGCAAGCCAGCTGCCGGTCTCGTCCCCACGCTGCTGCGGTCCTGCTCTGCAGGTGACCAGAGGCCCCGCCTCCCCGGGCTCAGGCAGACACAGCGTCAATATTCTCGTTGCTGAGCCAGACAAAACGATGGTAACATCATAGTTCTAGTTTTAGGTAATAAATACATGCTGGGTACCAGAGTGACAAAAAGAAACTGCTAACAATCTCACCACTGAAATTAAGTCAGTTTCTTGTCATTTTCTGGTTTTCTCTTTCTTCAAAAAAAAAAAAAGAAAAACAAACTAGCACAGGCTGCAGTGAAGCCCCTCCAGAGCAAGGACATAAGGGGACTGCAGTCTCCTTGGGAGTCAGACCAGGAGCAGCGCACGTGACAGGACAGCAGAGAGAAGTGCGCACACACCACACGCACACCCGCATGGACGCATCTGGACGCGCCCTGGGGAAGCCCACAGCCACGCCCATTCCACGCACATGCGCACAGACACTTTGCGGACTAGAGACAGGGTTCCTTCGGGCTGAAGCGGGAATGAGACTGATGGCGAAGGTGAAAGGAGACTTGGCCACTGCCATAAGGTTGTCTTTCAACAAGGACGTATCCCCAGAATTACTTACGTAACTAAAAATGTTAAAAACGCAGACAGCACACCCCAGCCTCTGCCCTGGGCCTCAGACCACTGAAGGGGCAGCTCTTCCCTCTCGGGGGACACTCACCCTGCCCGCCTGGGTTCCAGCAAGGTAAGTAGCACCTGTGTCCCGCTGACGAGGCAGAGCTCGGTCTGCACTCCATCAAACATGTTCCTCAGCAGCTGCTCCACGCACTCCTGCCTGTAGGACACGCACGAGGTCATGGCCCGGCAGGCAGACACACAGACTCCATCCCCACCAAAGGAGCAGCACCCTGAACCCCAGAGGGGCCCTACTTGGGGCTCAGGCTGGGCACCCAGGGTACTCAGGACACAGCTGCCCCAGGGCCCGTATTCTCTGGACCTACCAGGAGACCCCCAGAGACCCCTCCCCTGAGGAAGAGGTCCATCGAGGTAACCCTGGGTTGGGGCGAGCTCCTGACAAGTGATCAGAAGTGGCGGCGTCCCCGGCCCCCGCCCCCAGGCCCACAGCGCCACGGCCCACACTCACGACTCCAGCACCATGAGGAGGGGGTCTGGCTGCGGAGCCTCCAGCAGCTGGCCGCCCTGCTCCCTGCCCAGCCGGATGATGTCACAGAGCGTCTGCGAAGCATTGGACTGCCTCTGCAAGATGGGCACGCAGAGCCCGCCCTCAGGGCCAGCCTCTGCCCACAGGGTGCAGACCTGGCTGCCCCCCAAGAGTGCCCACTAGGCCTTGGTAGGCAAGTGCACCCCACAGATCCTGCTCCAGGTCTCTGCTTTAGATCAGTAAGTTGCTATTAATACACAGGTTGAGTCCTGTGAGCTAATGAAAACAGGAAAGTTGCTACAGGGAACACAAAGGACTCAGCTTTTCTATGGAAACATGAAGCCCCTGAAAATGCAAATTCTCTGACTCGGGGCACTTGACAACTGTGTGGGATCAGGCTACAGAGCAGGTGAACAGGATCAGAGGAAGACTCAGCTGCCGGCTCCGAGCAGGCAGCATCACATGCCCAGCCCTGACGTGCGTGGCACAGGGGATGGGGCTGCGGCAAGTGTTCTACGGCTCTTTCAGGGCAAACGAGAGCAGCCAGGTGCCCCCAGGCCTGGGGAGTGGCCAGTCGGCACCCAGCGCTCATCCCAACCTGGAGCCCAGCAACCCTTGCCCGTTGCCTGGTCAGCCCCATGGGCAACACAGCCCCACACAGCACAGCCAGGCAGCAGCCAAAGGTGAGACACAAGTCAGCACCGCGTTCGCAGAAGCCCCGAGAATTGGGCGCAGCTGTCCCGAGTGGAAGATGCCTCTCCAGCCACACCTGACGCCCGCAGTGACGCCCCAGGAGAGGGGGCCGCCCCACAGGCTTCCTCCAGGGCTCACGCCCTGGGACTCCCACCTTGGGAACAAGACACAGCCAGTGAGGACCGTCCCTGAGAGGGGTGCCTGGGCCAGAGGAGCAGCAGCGGCTCTGAGCTGCCCACAGTGGGGGCGGGGAGGGAGGCGGGTCGCGGAGCTGAGGGCAGCCTCGGCCAGCAGCCCTCAAGAAACTCAGCCTTGCCAAGCCCCCAGGGGCGGATCCTGAGATGATCACAGTCTTGTGACAGACCCTGGGCAGATGACCTGTAGCCCTGGCCCATAAAAACTGAGATTAAAAAAGACTGTTACAAACAACTAATGTTTGGGGTAATCTGTTACTCAGCCACAGATAAGTAATACAATTCTATTCAAATTGGTTTTTTATAATATATATGTTTTATGTTTTAGAAAAAAACTGTCCAGAAGTCAGTGCCTGATCAGAGGAAGAGGAGAACTCGTCGGTCCGCGTCTGAGGAGGAGCGACCTGCCCCCAGAGAGTGCTCACGGCCGCCCCGAGCTGGACTCCTGCCCCAAGGTGGCTCCGTGAGCCCTACTCACGTCTTCATCCTGACTTGGATGGATCAGCTCCACGAGTCTCTGGATGGTCCTCTCTTCATTAAGCCACTGAGAAGGAAACAGGGCCGTCAGCGGCCGCTCACCTGACTGAATGGAGGGGAGCCCTTCAAGGCAGCAGGGATCTACGGCCAAGCTCGAGCGGACACCTCGCCGCGCCGGCGCGCCCAGGCCCAGCAAGCACAGGCGGTGGCTGAATTCGGGAATGACCCGAAGACACCAAGAGGAAGGAGGCCCCGTCCACATGAGCCCATGGTTCACTTGAGCACAGGCGACTGCTCGCAGGACACCGCCGCGGCAGAGCCGGGAGCACCGCTGCCGGGGCCTGGGGGCGCGCCCCTGCACACAGCCCAGCTGCTCCCGGCCGCACTCGGGCCTTCCTGGCTCTTCCCCGTACTTCCTTATGCAGAACAGGCTCAGCGTGTCCAGAGCGGGGCTCCCACCAGCTTCTAACAACGCTGATGTTCACGCTGTGCTAACCAAGCCACAACTGCTACTACAGTTCGTTCCTGGTGGGCGGCTACTCCGTAATGAAATGAGGTTATGAACCTAAGAGTGACAACAGCCAATGCCAGGAGCTGGAGACTGGCCACAAGGGCCAATCGTCTTACTCATCTCACTTTAAATTACAAACAAAACCTGCCAATCAACAGCTGACAGTGACCCAGCAGAGACCTCCCGGGCTCCCGAGCTGAGCACCCTCTCTTTTCTGGGAAGCCCAGGGAGCTGTGGGGGCACCTCGCTGCGAGAGTGTCAGGACAGACATAGGCACGGGGGGTAGGACCGACAGCAGGCCAACTCCAGGGTGCGCAACCTCTCTGCGTGGAGCCCTGAAGGCAAGTGCTTCCCCACAGGCAGGCGCCCGGGCACAGGACGAGCGCCCAACAGAGCCCTGGCAGCCCCCAGGGGGAAGGCGCAAGCAAGGAGTCCCCTGCTCTCTGCTTGGGAACAGATCGCAGCAAGACAAGGGAAGAGGTGCAGAGGACAGATCCCACCTCAAACACAAGCCGCCATGAGAACCCCTGAGGGCCCAGCCAGGAGGGAAGGTCCTGCTGGGTGGAAAGCTGGGTGCCGGGCGCCCCAGCGCTGCTCTGCCAGCTCCCGCCTGCCTACGCCAGGCGCTGAGTCCACACTCAGGAGAAGCTGCAGAGCCGCGCAGACAGGGAGGAGGGGCCCACACACTCACGTGCAGGACCTCCTGCCTGAGCCCAGCAGGCTCCACGCAGCTGACCAGGCGCAGCAGCAGGTCCATGAGGGCCGACGTGCCGATGTGCTGCAGCACCAGGCTGATGAACGTGTCCTTCTTCCTCAGGAACGCAATCACCTGCAACCAGATGGGGTCTGAGAGGCGAGCAGGGCAGGCCCTGACCCTAGGGAACACCGTCTTCCCCCGAGGACTGCCATAGAAAGATTCATTTTCAGCAACACTGAGCAGAAATAATGGAAAGACATGGAAAGAGTTGTAAGAAAGACGCCCTCAGTGACAGGCAGAGACCTGAACACAGACAAGTCCAGGAGGCACTGGGGAGCCTGAGAGGGCCCTGGGCTGGCAGAATTTCCTCCACACTGAGCCTGGGCACCGATGGGGCCCAGAAACCTGAGTGAGAAGGCGCAGTGACCACTCCATACACACTGCCTCAAGTCTTCCCCGCAGGAATGGCCAGTGCAAACAGAGCTGACAGTCCCTGGACACGAGTCACAAATCTGGAAAGCTGGCAGGCCCTGCAGATGGCGGAAGGGACAGGACTGAGGTTTTGGAAAAGGAGGGTGGAGAGGTGGCTGGCGGGTGGCTGAGCACAGATGGCTGGGAGAGGCCCATGCAGAGGCCTCCTTGGCCACCGAAATAAGGGGCCTGCGAGTTCAGGCCACTGCACTGAGGCAGACCCAGGGCTCTACCGGGGCCATGGGACACGCAGGAGGCAGGGGGTCCCAACTGTCCTCATTCTGGAAGTGAAGCGGGGAGGAGAGGCAGGAGGAGGAAGAGAGGGAAGAGAGGCAATGGGGAGCAGGGGGACTGGTATTTGAACAGAGCGGTTAAACTCGTAGAGAGAAACGGGAGACAGCAGGGAAGGCTCCGGGAACATCCGTGTACACCCGAGAGATACAGACACTGTTACAAGAGCACATCAGGAACAAGTTTACGCCAAATTCTGTAAGTTTGAAAAAATAAGTTTCTTTGAGAAACATATTTATGTAAACTGAGAAAAAGGAAGAAAAAATGGAGTTTGAGCATCAAAAGAAACAAAATCTATAATTAAAAGCCTCCCCATACAGAAAACTCCAGCCTGCAATAGCTTTACTAGAGAATTCTGTCAAACATTTGAAGAAAAATATCCCAATCTTATGCAGGACTCCCCCAGGAAACATAAAATGAGAGCATATGCCCCATGTCATTGTATGAGGACATAAAATGTTGATTCCAAAACTTCCTGTGGGCACTTTAAGAAAAGGCAACAATGGAAGGACCTGACACAGTGCACGGAGAACTCCGCTCAGCACGCTGTCAGGCCCGTGCGGCCAGAGTCTGCGAGTGGGCACACGCAAACGCAAACTGCCGCGCTGTGCGCCTGGAACCGACGCAGCACTGCACCAGCCACACCCAACAGAAGTCCTTTTCAAAGGGCACCATAAGCCAATCTCACTGATGACAACAGACAAACAGGTAAAAAAAAAAATATGAAAAAAAGCATAATGTATCACCATGAAGCTGAATGTATTCCAGGAAATCGACAATTATCTCAGTAAAGTTTCTCAATAAAAAAGACACTGTTTAGAACAACAGTATCTTAAGCATATTTATGAAAACATGAAGCACCTGAGAACAGACGTGACGGGATACGCAGGACTGCCACCCTGAGAGCAAGGTCGCTGGGAGGCGGGAGCGGCCCCGACCTCAGCTCTCCCCGACCTCAGCTCTCCCCCGACCTCAGCTCTTCCCCGACCTCAGCTTTCCCCGACCTCAGCTTCCCCCGAGCGCAGCTCTTCCCCGAGCCCTCAGCTCTCCCCCGAGCGCAGAGAGCAGCCACGGGCGGGTGGCGGCGCTTCGAAAATTGGCGTTTTTTACAAAAACAGGTGGCAGGTTGGCTTTGGCCTATGGGCTGTAATTAGCCAACCCCAATCTACAGGTAGTGCAAGCCTCATCAAAATTTCAGCAGGTTTTTCTGGGGAACAGGGTAAAATGTGTAAAGTGACAAACTCATTCTAAAAATCTGCTCATCCTAAAATAATGCAAAGGCAAAGAATCGTAAAAACAACCTTGGAGAAAACAAAGTGAGAAGACTGATTCTATAAAATAGCAAACCTTATAAGCCTACAGTAATTAAGATAGTGTTGGGTTCATAATTACAAACAGGACTGACTGCAGAACAGAAACAGACACACCCGTGTGACTGCAAGAGGAACGTGTGGTGCGGAGTCCACTGGATGCCACAATAAAAAACACCTCAACCTTACACCATTTATAAGAATCAATTTCAGGTGGATTGTAGGTAGAAATATCGAAAGTAAAACCATAAAAATAAATTAATTTTCTGGGCTCCAAAATCACTGCAGATGGTGACTGCAGCCATGAAATTAAAAGACGCTTACTCCTTGGAAGGAAAGCTATGACCAACCTAGACAGCATATTAAAAAACAGAGACATTACTCTGTCAACAAAAGTCCATCTAGTCAAGGCTATGGTTTTTCCACTAATCATGTATCACATGGATGTGAGAGTTGGACTATAAAGAAAGCTGAGCACTGAAGAATTGATGCTTTTGAACTGTGGTGTTGGAGAAGACTTTTGAGAGTCCCTTGGACTGCAGGGAGATCCAACCAGTCCATCCTAAAGGAGATCAATCCTGGCTGTTCATTGGAAGGACTGATGCTTAAGCTAAAACTCCAATACTTTGGCCACCTGATGTGAAGAGCTGACTCGTTGGAAAAGACCCTGATGCTGGGAAAGATTGAGGGCAGGAGGAGAAGGGGATGACAGAGGATGAGACCGTTGGATGCCAGCACTGACTCAAAGGACATGGGTTTGGGTGGACTCCCAGGAGTTGGTGATGGACAGGGAGGCCTGGTGTGCTGCGGTTCATGGGGTCGCAAAGAGTCGGACACCACTGAGCGACTGAACTGAACTAAAAGCAATAAAGCTTCTAAAAAATAATACAGAGTATCTCTATGATTTTGAAGTAGATAAAAGTTTAACGGACAAAACAGACAAACAAAAAAATAAATAAAGACTTATGACTTGCACTACATGAAAATCAGAACCTCTGTTCATTAAAAAAATACAATTAGGAGAGTAAAAACCAAAAAAAAAAAAAAACAAGCAGACAGAGTAAGAAAAGATGTTTGCAACACAAAACCAACAAAGGGAGAATTCCCTAGCAGTCCAGTGATTCGAACTTGAGCTTCCACTGCCGAGGGCATAGGTTCAATCTCTGGTCAGGGAATAAAGATCTGGTAAGCGGTGTGGCACAACCAAAAAAAATCAGAGGACTTGTATCCACAAAATAGAGAATTCTACAAATGAAAACAAAACAGAGGCTGAAAGAAAAAGGGCAAGAGACTTCACACAAAAAATATCCAAATGGCCGATTAATATACAAAAAGATGCTCATCCTCACCAGTTACCAAAGTGATGCAAGTTAAAACCACAATGCTGTTATCTACATCTATCAGAAAAGTTGAAGTAAACCGACTGGTCACACGGAAGGCTGGAGAGGAAGTACAGCAGCAGGAACTGTGCTCTCCTGCTGGGACGCAGGCGGCCTCAAGCACCTTCACTTCAGCCACTCACGCTGCCCACAGGACGTAACACCAGGAGAAAGGAAGTCCTCATGCTTCAGAGACTCACACTGCACTGCTTACAGAACCAACTCGCTGTCTGGGGTTTGTTCTGAAACTATGCACTGGAGACGGTGAGCAGGGGCAGGAGATGAAAGACTGACACGCCAGCTCGTGAAGCGGGCGCCGGGCACACTGCAGGGCCGCTCTGGGACGTGTGGGGCAGGCGCACACGTTGTCCGCAGAAGAACCGTGCTCCAGCTGAATGAGGTGAGCTCACCCCATGCTTCACAGAAACCTGTAAAAGCTGGGCACTCCTTTTTTGATTGCACCATGTGGCTTATAGGATCTTAGTTCACCAACCATGCCACCTACAGTGGACACACAGAGTCCTATCCATTGGACAGAGGAGAACTTCCGTTTATTTGCTTTGAGACAGTAAGTGCCCTAGACTCAAAGAAGTCTTCCCCAGGTGGCGCCAGTGGTAAAAAGCCCGCCTGTCAATGCAGGAGACACAGATTCCATCCCGGAGTCAGGAAGATTCCCCAGAGAAGGAGATGGCTACCACTCCAGTATTCTCGCTTGGAAAATCCCAAGGACAGAGGAGGCTGGCTATAGTCCATGGGGTTGCAAAGAGCTGTGCTGGGAGCCAACACACGAGACCCTACCCCTAACAAGGCCGTAAGGGCCGTAAGGGAGAAAGCCTGACACGCAAGGCGGAGCAGGTTCTCAGGGGTTTCGAAAAGGCCAGCTCACGAGATCCCACCCATGATAAGGTCACGAGGAGAAAGCCTGACGGGCAAGGCAGATCAGGTCTTCAGGGGTTTCGAAAAGCTGCCCCCGGCGCTCACCTTAAAGATGATATCTGTCTTTCTGATGCCTGCCTCAATGGACTACTCCCTAATTTCTCTGACACAGGCAGGAAGGCCTTCCCCGATCTCTTCCAAATAAGAATCAATTTAGAACTTTAATCAATAAATTTCCCAGGTGGTGGTATTTTATGAGATTATCCAGGGTGATAGGAGTGTTTTACTTTAAACTCCTTTGCTGGCAGTTTGTTAGCCAAATGCATTTATGCCCTTGGTACTAATATGCATGATTGCTTATAATATCCTAATCATAAAATAGCATAAAGAACCTGATTATATATAATTATCATATATATAATAATTATATATAAAAGCCCTAACAGACATAGAGCCTTTTTAAGGGATAAAGGAGTCCTATTAGAAAACATAAGAAAAATTATTCTATAGGTGGTTATTGGGTTGTGATTTGCTTGCTGTGTTTTTGCTTGCTGTATCTTTGCCTTTAATGTGCTAAGGTTGTGTTATAAAAACCATTGTTAATATAGTTAAAGATCTAGAGAAATAAGAACTTAGCTCTAGTGTAGTAACAATGAGATGGTTGTTAATTGTCAGTCAGGAATGCTAGGCAGAAGCTGCCTCACCAAAGTCACAGAGTCAGTATGGGGTAAACTTCTTAGATAAACACAACTGACAACTTTTGCAGAAAGATTAATTTTTGTATTAACAAGAATATAATTCTACTCTGTACTATTTCCCTATGACACTGTTACCTTTCAGTTAAGGTCACCATAAAAACGGAAAATAGGCTTACAATCACCTGACCTGCATGAAATGTTAATAGCCCCAAGGCCAGAAGATCATGTGCTAAGAATTACTATAGAATTAAAAAGCAAAAAAAAAATCCTGCTTTTCCTAAAAATCAAACTGATGTAATGCTAATCCTGTGTAATCATGAGTAAGCATCTTGTACCTTGAAAACGTTCTGTGAAAGGGTATAAAACCGGTTGTCAAAGAGTAAAACGCAGACTTGGCCCTATCAAGGCTAGTCTCACGTGTCTCCTCTCTCTCTCGCCGACACCGTTCATCCTGAGGGTACCCCCGAGGCTGGACCCCGGCAGAGCTGGGCACGACTGAGCACACATGCATGGTATACACACAGACACCCGCCACCCACAGAGATGCAACAGAAGGAGCCCTACGGCCCTAGCATCACGCAGGCACACCCGGGACCTCACGCCAGGACCGGTGAGGGAGGGGACAAGCCGGCCGAGCCTGGGGCCCTGTGCACTCCCGAACAGGGCACGTGCTGCTTGTGCAGAGCGGGCCAGTGGCCCTCTCTCCTGGGAAGACAGCTTCTTCATCCGTCCCAGCTCCCACGGCAGCAGCCATGCGGCTCCAGGTGTGTCCCTCAGAGCAGTCAGAACCCGCCCCCAACAGCGACGGCTGATAGCATGATCGGCATCAGCCAAGCCTCCCTCCCAAATCACGCGGGCTGGGTGGATGACTACCTGTTCAGTTTTTCTTGCAATGAGATTGCCAATGGTCTTGCTGAAGAAACTGGCGAGCAGAGGATTGAGGGGCGGCTCACGGTCTAGGAAGTTGTAAAGAACGTTCAGCAAAGTCTCATCCCCTCCCAGCCTGTCGTTGATCTGTGGCACGTCGCACGTCAGTAGCTCGCAGGCTGTATTCGGGTATCTGCAGGGGCACAAGGCAATGGCTGGGTGTGAATTGGGCTTCTCCACTGCTCAGGAAGCTGCTCAACAGTCTTCTCTTCAGAAGCAGCTCCACAGGCAAAACCCAAAATGGCTAGACCTCTCAACAGAATAAAAATGTGATTATTCTGTGACCAACCGGCATTTTTTACTAGAAGCTCAGCGCTGAGTCATCCTCTCTGCTGGCTCCTTACACCCTAGACCTGACGCCCTACACTCCCGGACTCCGTGCCCGTTTCCTACGGACCCCCTTCTAATCTTCTGGCCTCTCCTCCGCCCTCCACTCTCCTGCCAGGCCTGCCACGGGCATCAGGCCGTCCTCCCCGCTCCACGCCCTGCTCACCCCCACACCCCAACAAGCAGAGACCGGCCATGCCCAGACCGAAGCAACCCCGCGTCACAGCTGATGACGAAGCACCAAGCCACGTGTTATGTGAATTATTACTAAGAAATGCTGTCTCGCTATCCATACTGTTTGATGAACCCGGGGCAGGCAAGGCGCGAGTGGGGAAGCTGGACGAAAGCTCGAGGGGCCACAGGACGGCAGGCGTGTTCTGTTCCTCCCTGACTGGCACAGCCGCCGCAGCAGCAGACACGGCGGCCTCTCCTCTAGCTGCTGACCCAGTGGGCAGTCCTAACGCAGCCGTGAGACAGCCATGACCCGGAGGCCAGGGCTTTTCAAGTGGAGCTTATATATGTTTACAGAATACAAGTGGGCCACGTGGGCACACTGTGCCATGCGTGTGCAGTAAGTTGCCTCAGCTGCTGTATAGCCATGCACTTACAAACGTGGGGGACGGGCCTGCGGTGAGAGAGCCTGGCCACCGCCGTTTTGGCTAATGGGCTATTTCCCTACAAATATCAGTATGTGTAAAAATGTATTATTCCTTTGATAAAAATGATCAGACACAACACAGTCCTGATCCCAGCATGTATAACCTCATCCCACTGTGCTCCCTGCCTGACCCTCTCACAGACATGGGCCACAGACATGGGTCTCATGGATCACATGAGACGCCACATGGGTCTCACAGACATGTGGCGCCAGACAGGCCTGCAGCATCCAGAGCCCACCATAGCAGCGCAGAGACAAGGCCTGGGGCCACACACGGCATGCCGGGGAACATCGGTGAGGGTGCCCAGGGCCAGGGCTGCTGGAGCCTGCCAGAAGCCCTGGGGGCTGCCTGCCCTGCGGCACAGGGGGCACATGCCGCATGGGACCTGCTGTGTAGCCTCAGGCACACGAGTGAGCCTGAGTCTGAGCCGCAGCATCCAAACAAGGGGGGCTGAGTGTCCCCCCCCAGGCTGTGCATACAGCGGAGCGGAGCCTGGCACACGGCCAGCCCCGGGTCAAGGTCGGCCGCAGCGACCCTCCAGCTCCGGGAAGCCACCCAGAGGGCTCCAAACTAAGGCGCTCATTGTGGGTCAGCTAGAGGGGCCTAGGGTTCAGAAGCTCCAGAGGAAGCAGCTGACTGCGCGCACGGCCCACCAGGAGCAGCAGGGGTGGGAGCAGGGCTGTCAGTGTGGCTGTGGGGCAGGTGCACCCCGAGAGCCCAGGGAGCAGAGGCCCCACGGGGGCCCCAGAGGACGCTTTCCAACTGCGGTGCTGGAGAAGACTCTAGAGAGTCCCTTGGAGAGCAAGGAGATCAAACCAGTGAATCCTAAAGGATATCAATCCTGAATATTCACTGGAAGGACCGGCCACCTGATGGGAAGAGCTGACTCACTGGAAAAGACCATGATGCTGGGAAAGACTGAAGCAGCAGGAGAAGGGGATGATAAGAGGATGAGATGGTTGGATGGCATCACTGTCTTGACATGAGTTTGAGCAAACTCCTGGAGATAGTGAGGGACAAGGAAGCCTAGCGTGCTGCTGTCCATGGGGCCACAAAGAGTCAGACACCACTGAAGGAGTGAATAAACAAACACACCTCCCCCAAGTTACGAAGGGCAGGTTCAAACAGTAGCTGAGCAGAGAAGGGAGAGGCTGAAGAAACAAGGGAGGGGCAGCCAAGAAACAGCTGTGCGGCTCTGGGGCAGGGTTCCTGCTGTAGCTCAGTTGTGTCTGACTCTTTGCGACCCCGAAGACTGCAGCACGCCATGCTTCCCTGTCCTTCGTCAACTCCCGGAGTTGGCTCAAATTCATGTCCGCTGAGTTGGTGATGCCATCAAACCATCTCGTCTTCTGTCATCCCTGTCTCCTCCTACCTTCAGTCTTTTCCGGCATCAGGGACTTTTCCAGTTGGTGGGCTCTTCCCATCAGGTGGCCAAAGTACTGAAGCTTCAGCTTCAGTGTCAGTCCTTCCAATGAATATTCAGGGTTCATTTCCTCCAAGATTGACTGGTTGGCTCTCCTTGCAGTCCAAGGGACTCTCAAAGACTCTTCTCCAGCACCACAGTTCAAAGACATCAATTCTGCAGCACTCAGCCTTTTTTACTGTCCAGCTCACACAACTATACATGACTACTGGGAAAACCATAGCTTTGACTAGACGGACCTTTGCAGGCAAAGTAATGTCTCTGCTTTCTAATATGCTGTCTAGGGTGGTCACTGCTTTTCTTCCAAGGAGCACGCATCTCCTGCTCAAGGGATACACACAACAATACCTTTGAGCTCTTCAGTAGAACTAAGCCCCCCCACCCACCCACGGATGACAGTAACTTCAGGCTGAGCCCAAGATTCCTGGAGCTCTGCCCTGTTACCTCACCACCAACCAAAGAGAAGAAAGCACCACATCGCACAGCCCTCATCTCAAATTTGCCTATAAGCTTCTCCCCTAAAACTACTGAGGAGTTCAGGCTTTTGGGCACTGATGCCAAGCAAGACCCTCTAGGGTCTCCCAGGTAAGAAGGCCTTTTTGTCCCCCATTTCCTTTAGACAAAGCATCGATTCTTGGCTCAGTGGTAAAGAATTTGCCTGCTGACACAAAAGACACAGGTTCAATTCCTGGGTTGGAATGATCCCCTGGAGAAGGAAATGGCAACCCACTCCAGTATTCTTGCCTGGAAACTTCCATGGACAGAGGAACCTGGTGGGTTCTAGTCCATGGGGTCACAACGAGTCGGACATGACTGAGCGCGCGCACACAGCCTTCTTTTTTTTTTTCACAGCCTTATTCTTATAGACAAGAGTGCAGCTTCCATGCCCTTCTGAGTTCCAAAAGGCAGAACAGTTACTAATCAAAGGAGGAGCAGCCAGGAAACCACATGAAGCAAGACTAAAGGGCCCAGAGAGGCCCATAAAAGATTAGGAGACGACCACCAGAGACCCTGCACACAAGACCCTCATCTTGTCAGCAACCCCACTCCTAAGAAAGTGTGCAGAAGAAAGAATGCAAGACTGTTACTGCTTTGGTCCTTATCACACACTGCCTGACTATACAATCTCTCCCGACTCACCACGAAGCGGGGGCACAGTCCTTGAGGCATTAGCCTATTTAGTGTTCCCCTTTTGCCTGGCAAAGTAATAAAACCATTTCCCTGGTGGCTTAGACGGTAAAGAATCTGCATGTAATACAGGAGACCAGGTTTGATCCCTGGGTTGGACAGATCCCCTGGAGAAGGGAATGGCAGCCCACTCAAGTAGAATCCCATGGACAGAGAAGCCTGGTGGGCTACAGTCCATGGGGTCGCAAAGAGTCAGACAGAACTGAACAAAGAACACTTTCACTTTCTTTTCCTTCTCCGCAACTCTGTCCTCATGTTTCTGTCTGGCAATAAATGCACAGAGAGCCAACATTTGGCAACAGCACAAGCCACCTCTTCTTGCTCAGCCCCACAGTAAACAGCATTGCTCTGCTCCCACCTCTGACGTGCCCGTTTGGCCCCGCAGTGCTCCGCGCACAGGAGCCTGTGCCTGTGGCTCAGCGAGGCCTGCAGGCACACGGTGGCCCCCAGGCAGGGGGGGGCTCGCTGCAATGGGCCTCCCTGGTTTTGTTCGCTTTGTTTTGCACTTATTTATTACTAATTTCTCCCAAACTCTCTGACTATAAAGTGCCACTTGTGAGATCCCCCTGTCCTGACCCAGGGGATAAAGTCCTGGGAAACTGCAGAGCACCAGAGTTAAAGGCCCTGGGATGCCCCTGAGGAAAACTGGGGGCCTGTGGCATCAGACCTGTCAGCAGGAGGGCTGGAGTCAGGAAGAGAAGGTGTGAAGAGCCGTGTGGACGTGTCAGTGAACACAGGCTGCCCCCAGCCTTGGCAGCCCCGCGGGGACCCTCCATAGAGCCGCCACCCTCAACGGCGTGCCGTGAGGGACTCAGGACGGGAGTGCACAGGATGCAGCAAGACAGCTGCAGGGCAGGCCAGAGGAGTGGTGCCCTGAGCCCAGACCCGGAGAGGCGCTCAATCCGGAACTGAGTCGTCTGGTCTTCTTTAATGAACAGTAAGCTTCTGAAGTTCTGACTACCTGGTCTTTGTTGTAAAACCTCCTACACATCTTGGCTCCTCACTTGCCTCTTCAGAGGTCTCCCCGAGAGATCTGGGAGTCCTGTCCCCAGGGTTTAAAGTCTTCAGAGAGTCCGCCAAGTAAAACGTAATTTTCAGCTTGTAAGTTGTGCTTTTTTTTTTTTTCAGTTGACAAAGACAACCCTGGAGTCTTCACAATGACAGGAGAACCGTGTTCAGTCTGGACATGACTCATCAAGGCCAGCCGGAGGGAGAAGGATGCACTCAGACTGCGCCCCAGCGGTGCCAGCCACGCAGCCCTTCTCAGGAGGCTGTCAGAGAACAGGGTTCGCCAGGGGCAGCAGGCAGGAGAGAGAGGGGCGAAACCCGGGAGCACGGGCGGCGGCTGCAGGGACTGCCAGGCGAGGAAGGGGGGCCCGGGGCCGCCACGGTGGGGGCTCCCAGGGCCTCCGCAGGCCCCTCTGGGGCGTGCCTGGCCGCCCCCGGGCGCGCGGCGCCCCCTCTGCCCTGCCCTGCAGGGTGGGGTGGGGTGGGGGGCCCTCCCTGGGCCTCCGCACGCCCCTCTGTGGCGTGCCGGCCGCCCCCAGGCGCGCGGCGCCCCCTGTGCCCTGCCCTGCAGGGTGGGGTGGGGTGGGGTGGGGGGCCCTCCCGGGGCCCCCGCACGCCCCTCTGTGGCGTGCCTGGCCGCCCCCAGGCGCGCGGCGCCCCCTCTGCCCTGCCCTGCAGGGTGGGGTGGGGTGGGGGCCCTCCCAGGGCCTCCGCAGGCCCCTCTGTGGCGTGCCGGCCGCCCCCGGGCGCGTGGCGCCCCCTCTGCCCTGCAGGGTGGGGTGGGGTGGGGTGGGGTGGGGGCCCTCCCGGGGCTGCTGGGCCCAGCCCTGCCCCCCACAGGCACGCAGGCCTCACCGGCTCGGGGAGAGGGGGCCTCCTGCACCCACTGCCACACCACCGCATCGGAAACAACAGTGGGAGCCGGGCATCCACCTGCAGACTCTTGTCTCATTCCTCAAATGGTCCAAAGCTCAGTGGACAAACTGCATGGGGACCTTAAGGAAGAGCCAGAAGCATCCTCAGGAATCGGGCCAGCTCCTGGCCCCGGGCTGCTGCACAAGGCCTCACCTGCACGGAGCTCCTCTGGCATTAGCAGAGCAGCAGGCCCCGCTCTCAGGGGCACCCCTACTTCCCAGACAGATCTCTGCGTAATCCAGCCTGCAGCCAGCGGGCTGACGCGGCCGTCAGGGCGGCCACAGGGGCAGCTGTCTGGAGGCTAAGACGAGTGGGCTCCTGCCCACCACGCTCACGCCCAGCACCCGGAGGGCCATGCCGAGTGGCTTGACAGAGACCCACGGCTCAGAGCCTGAAACAGTCCAATCTGTACCCTTGGCTCCTCTGAAAAACAATCCTGACCCCACATCCTCCTCCAGCTACTACCTCATCCATCCACCCAGCCTATTTCTCTTTTCAAAAAGGACATTTAATTTTAACTAAGAGCAAACTAATCTTCAATAAGCAAGTTAATTTCAAAATTAACTTTTAAATTAAAAAGGTTCTACTATTTTTAACAGGCGACACGCACACATGTTTTAACAACTGAGTATGACCAGGCTGGTGAGGAAGAGCCCCCATCCCCACCTGCAGGCCATACTGCTGAGACAGTCACCACAGCCTCTTGGCACCTTCTCTATTATTCACCTCCATGTTTCCAAATAAAACACAAACAAACATCTTCAGCAACTGCAGACACTACAAACCGACCTCCTGTGTGACGCTGGAGCTCTCACATCATCCGGTCCATCCACCCCACTGCCCTCTCCCCACCTCCATAAAATTATGCCACAATTCTTAATTAAATCCCTATCTGGGGCTGCCCTTTTTGTATAGACAGGCAAACACTGTCCCATCTGTTTACTTACATGTGTCCCTGCCCAGAGAAGCGGGTCCCCTTGTTCTCTTGTTTGCGCTCGCTGACTGCTGGTCTCCCCAGACGCTGACTGTAAAGCTCCCCCAGGCTCTACTGCCACACTAGGGCCCTCTGCCCAGAGGCACAAGCAGCCCCGCAGCCCTCCTCCCCATCCCACTGCTGCCAGCGCCTCAGACCGGGGACCCTCACTCGGGCAGCAACAGGGCCCTTTGGGAACAGAAGAATTAAAGGGATGGGGTCACTAATGGTGACGCGGAGGTAAGACCAGGCACATCTCGAGAGATGGTCTGACAGCCTCTGGCCCCCCACAGGTGGTGGCCCCGAGCCCCGGCTCCTCCACAGGCACGTCCCTGCCCCTCTCTGGAGCACTGCAGTCGGACGGATGTGCAGAGCACAGCCCTGACCCCGCCCCCCACCCGTCGGCTCATCTTGCTTTGTTTCCTGAGTCTCCAAAGACATTCTACAGTTGGTCAGAGAGTAACTATTTTAGAAGGTCTATGTTGTCACAGCCAACAGGTCATGGGTGTATCCAACAAGACTTTACTGACGGACAATGAAATGTGAATTTTGCCATTTTCAGACAAATAAACACTATTTTTTCATTTTTTTCCCAACCATTTTAAAATGTAAAACCATTTTCAATTGGCAGGTCCTACAAAAAAAACACTCTGACCGGAGGCTGGACCTCCCTAGCCTGTTCTAGGGCGCGACCACACACGCCGACCCCAGCGGGGCGCGTGAGGAGCTGAGGGCGCCCTGTCTGCCCTGACTCCCTGTGCCACCAGCCCTGCTCCTGCACGTCCCGGGGTCTGAGTGCGATCCGAGCGGCACCCTCAGAGTCAGAGGCCAACGCTGGGTCCTTCCCGCCACCCGAGGCCCTGCCTTCACACTCCGCTGTCCGCACTGAGCCCCGGTCCCAGGTCCCCACTTGGTCCCTTCTGTCATCTCCTAACGTCACAGCTCTGAGACCAGTTGGGACAACTAAGGACACAGCACATTACCTCCAGGCAGAAGACCCCACGGTCAAGCGGGCACATGCTGCCTGTCGCTGGGGACTGGCCATTTCACCAGGCTAAGCGCATGTATCAGCCTCTGTCAGGGCTCAGCCTTTTTCCAGTACACATTTACCCAAAACGCTTCAACGCACGACATTGCTGCTCACTGCAACCTAGGGTGAGGACTCACACACGGGGATCCCCAGACCTTAAACATCACAGCAGCAAAGCCCACTGGGCCCTTCTCACACGTCAGGTGGGGTCAATGTTCAGGGTCAGTCACTCCCTTCGAAAGCTTGGCCCCGGCCGTCCTCAAGCCCTGCCCACTGCTCCCCGAGTGCGGCCCGGCCCGGTACCCACTTGAAGCGGGCCCTCTCCTCCAGGTCCAGGGCCGGGTCCTGAGTCACAAGGCCCACCAGCTCCTCCATGCTCTGCCGCCGGCACAGGAAGTCCAGCAGTTTCCGGTTCTGGGCCTTGCACTCCTGCAGGATGTCTTCTCCATCCATCAGCTCCCGCAGTGTCACGCCCTCCTTATCCAGCAGCTTGTCAACGTGCGACGTGGTGCTCAAGTCAAACTTCCAGAACATGGTGCCGGCCACAGAGCTGCAAGCAGACAAGAGGGTCACTTCCCCTAGCCTGCGCACGCCGGCCTCAGCCACCCTGCACCCAAGTCCCAAGTCCACGCTGGCCGGCCCGGGCTGCAGGGGGTGGCCCCGTGGGCCGCCCCCGGCCTCCTCCCCTCTCGCTGGAGCTCCTGCTCACAGCCCTGGGCCCCTGAGGCCACACATGCCTGTCTCCCCAAGTCAGACAGCGAATACCCCTCCACCCAGAGAGTTCACGACTCACAAACCTCCTCCCAGTGTCCACCTCCCTCTTCAATCAACACAGACCACCTCTTCCCAGATGTCTCCAAATCATGTACATTTTTAACTTTCTGTACATTATCTTTGAAAAAACTTTCTGATTGAGGAGAGACAGACCCTCCTGTGCAGCCAGCTCTGAGAGCAGCAAAGCGTTTCCGTGAGCGCATTTCCAGCCTGCAGGCTGAACCCCCAGCCCCACCCCACCCCCGCAGGCCCACACGCCAGGAGACCCCTTCCTCTGCTTTCATCATCCCAGCACCAGGGACCAGGGGCCAGGCAACCAGAAGCCACCCACATAGCTTAAAGCCTGCCAAAATTATCCAAGCAAGCTGACCCTAAGCAACTCCCCCTGCCCGGCCTCGCCTTTCATGGGGAAACCCCACAGAGGCCACAGCCTCAGCTACCCACCCTCCCCCACTCCTGCCTCCTGAGCCCCAGGCTTCCCTACTCGGCCCCGCTGAGGTCGGGGCTCAGGACCCAGGAGGGCAACAAGCTTTGCTCTCCTGTCTCTCCTCTGCCTCCTCGCGAAGCCACACCTGCCCGGCCACCTCATAGGAAGCACAGAACAGTTCACAGAACAAACCCAGCAGGCCAAACTCACGACAGCTCCTTCCGCTCCATCTCTGCTCCTCTGCCACCCCCACCTCCCTGCCCCCATTCCCCGTGACCTTGCTGGGTGAGCAGGGCTGCCCCTGAAGCCACCACTCCTCCGCTGGCACACTGCAGCACTAGACTCCCCACCGAGGGCCTCTAACCCAGCAGCCCTTGGGCCGCAGCCCCACCCTGTCCCAGCCCTGGCTCTCTGTGTCCGGACTACACAGGGTCTGACCACTCAGCCAATTCTCATGACAGTCTGTGAGCCTAGGGTGGTCTGCAACAAAGTTTTCAGTGTTGGATACAAAATGAAAAACATAAGCCTGTATTTTTTTAAATTAATCAATTATTTATTTCTGCATTGTTGCACTGGGTCTGTGTTGCCTTTCTCTGGTTGTGGGGAGCAGGCACTATGCTTCCTTCCAATCTCAGGCCTCTTTGATCTGCGGTGGCTTCTCTTGCTGCGGAGCATGGGCTCTGGATACTTGGGCATTAGCAGCCACCGCGCGCAGGGTCCAGAGTGTGGGCTCAGCAGTTGTGTTAGGTTCAGCTGCTCCGCCACATGTGGGATATTCCTGGACCAGGGATCAAACCTGTGTCCTCTGCATTGGCAGGCAGATTCTTATCCACTGTACCACTAGGGAAGTCCTCAAGGTCTGTATCTTTAACAAAGTCAAACCTGTATTCTGAGATTATGAATCTTTTCAGTGTTAAATCACTATTTACAAAATCATGATGATAACAGATGGGGGATTTATCTGATCTAGTATTTTTATTGAGAAGAGTAAAGGACTCCCCACACGACAGGAAGCCCTAGTTTGTGTGTGTGAAGCCCACCTCTCAGGAGCCCATGGCACAGGCCCCCCAGCTGTCCAGCCATGCCCTCCACAGCTTCTTGTCTTTGCTGCACTGAACTTCCTTTTCCAAAACACAGATGTCTTCATGTTCCTCTCACGTTGGCGTTAAAGCCTGTCTGGCCACAAATGCCCACGACTCACGAGGGTTCTTTTCCCAATGTGCCTCCAGGTCCTCTGGGGACTTCCTGCTGCCTCTCCAACTCCACCCTTGCCACAAGTATGTTATCTCTCTCCCAACACAAACCGCACTCTGCCTTTACCCTTCTGCACATGCTCCTGTGCTCGGGCCCTTCACTGACAAAAATCCCACTTGCCAGCAAGACTCAGATGTAAGGCCACTTGAACATTCAGTGCAGGGACTCCGCAAGTCAACCTGCACTCAATGTCCATCTAGGCCCTAATATCTTCCTCATTTCTCTTGTGAGGAGTGCAGATGGGTGTTTGTGTTGTTAGTCACAGACACTAGGGGACCAGAAAAAAGATTACTAGACGGACCTTCAGGAAAAGATGGCTGTCCCCACACACATCAGGTGCCTTCTCTCCTAAAGCCCTACAGAATGACTTGTGCACTTGGATAACATACAATCCAGGGAGGGAGACCCCGCCACCTAACCAGGGCTATTTTTCCAAACAAGAACTTGCCAGACAGGGAAGCTAGAGGTGGTCTCTTTGTGTCCTGTTTTCAGCCAGAGTGGGCAAGTGTCCTGAAGTCAGCTTGTCCCACACTAACACAGTACACCATTCTCCTAATTTATATTTGCTACATCCTGCAACATCCTTTTACTGTCAACATATCTGTATCTTCATATTTAAAGTGTTTCTTTTCTAAACAGCACACAATTGATATGGTCTTGCTTTGTTATTGTTATTCTTTGCTTTTTAATTAAAGTACTTAGATTATTTAATGTAACGTGGTTGGGTTTAAGTAATTTGAAAAAAATATAACACATTTATGATAAAAAAAAAAAGACTCAATAAATTAGGAATAGAAGGGAACTTCCTGAACCTGATAAAGAGCACCTACTAAAAAACCTATAGCTATCAGCACACTTAATGTGCTGAAAAGACTGAATGTTTTCCTCCTAAGACTGGAATAAGAAACTAAGCACGTCTATTCAAGATTCTATTCAAGATCTACTTCTATCCAAGGTAGTACTATAAGACAAGAAAAAAAAAACACATAAAGATTTTAAAAGGATGAGTAAAACTGTCCTTACTCACAGATGACATGACTGTGTAAGCAGAAATGCCTAAGAAATCTGTATGGAAAAGAGCTACTAGAATTAATGAGAGTGAACCCAGCTAGCTTACCAGTTACAAGGTCAATATCCAAAAAGGAACCATACCTCAATATACTAGCAATAAACGATTTTTAACTTCTGCTGTGCTGTGCTTAGTCGCTCAGTCGTATCCGACTCTTTGCAACCCCGTGGACTGCACCCTGCCAGGCTCCTCTGTCCATGGGACTCTCCAGGCAAGAATACTGGAGTGGGCTGCCACACCCTCCTCCAGGGGATCTTCCCGACCCAGGGATGGAACCCATGTCTCCTGCAGTGCAGACAGATTCTTCACCAGCTGAGCCACCAGGGAAGACCATGTTAAGACTAGGTTTCTTTTTTAAACTGGTTTACTGACTCAATGCAAACCCAAATAAATTCTAGCAGCTTTTTAAAAATAGAAATTGACAAATTGATACTAAAATGTATATGGGAAAAAACTCAGGAGAACCAAAGCAATTCTGAAAAGAAAGAACAAAGTTGTAGTGCTACCACCACCTGATTTTAAAACTTCCTATAAAGTGAGATTACTCAAGAGAGTGTGGTTCCAGTGGTTCAGCAGAACAAAACAAAAAGACGAGATGCAGACCAACACACACACGGTCAACTGACTTTCACTAAGTGTACCACAGCAATTTAATGGGGAAAGTATAATCGTTTTTAACAAATAGCTCTGGAAAGTTGAGTATCTATATATAAATCAGACCTCAACTCTTACCTCACATCATACACGATCACAGACTTAACCATAAACACTAACACTACAATCTTTAGAAGAAAACTTAAGAAAAAAATATTTGCAAACTTGCGATAGATAAGACACAAGGAAAAACAAACTATTATTATTATTGGCTCGAAAAGCAGGAGAAGACATGCTTACAGAAGGAAACGAAATGGTTGGCTACAATTGCCCTGGCATCTTCAGAAAACAGCAGTAGTACTCCAGAGCAGGGTGAGCAGACAAGTGAAAGACCCGAAAAGAAGCAAAAGCCCCAGGAAGCTCCTCAGGAGAATGGAATAGAAGACCCATAAGTCTCCTCTCCAAACCCAAGAGAAAGAAATCTTTTTCCAAGAAGGAGCTGGTTAGCAGTGATCTTGAAGAGACAGCTAGCACTGTTAAGTCTTCCCAAAAGGAAGAACTCTTTCCCCAAAGGGGAACCAGACAGTGACACTGAAGAGTCAGGAAACAGGAGTGATCCCAAGAAAAAGAGGAAATTCTCTTCCAAGGAGAAGCCACTCAACAGCAGTGGACCTGAAGAGGCTGCTACAGCAAGAGCTGTGGCTGCAAGAAAAAGAAAAAGCTCTGAAAGCCATCCCAGGAAAATCACAACAGACACTTCCCTAGTGGGCCATAACTTGCAAAGACAGTTTCCAACCCACCCCCTACAGCCCAATTAAAAAAAAAAAAAAAACTGATAAACAGGACTTAATCAAAATTGAAAACTTCTGCTGTTTAAATGATATCATTAAGAAAATACACAGATAAATCACAGAAAGGAAGAAAATATTTGTTCTCTATATGTGATAAGGCATTCTTTTTTAAAAAAATGATTTTATTTATTTTCATTTTTGGCTGCGCTGGGTCTTCAAGGCTGTGCAGCTTTTCTCTAAGAGCAAGGGGTGTGCAGGCTTCTCCCCACGGGGCCCTCTTGTTGCGGAGCAGCACTGCGGCCTCAGGACTCTGGAGTCTGGGGCAGCAGTTGTGGCGCACTGGCCGAGTTGCTCCACAGCAATGGACTCTCCCCGGACCAGGGATCGAACCCATGTCTCCTGCTGTGGCAAGCAAATTCTCTATCACCGAGCCACAAGTCTCTGACAAAGCATTCTTACTGAGATAACACGAAGAACTTTTATAAAGCAATAATATGAAAAAATACTCAACTAAAAAAATGGACAGGGACTTCCCTGGTGGTCCAGTGGTTAAGACTCTGTGCTCACAATGCAGGGGGCCTGGATTTGATCCCTGAACAGGGAGCTAGATCCCACATACTGCAAC